AACACCCCTTTTAGACCAACTTCGTGAATGAGGCCTACTAACGGTAAGACTAGCAATTTAAGTTATACATATATAATATTAGACTTTTAATGTTATATATAGTATAGGGTGTATTTTACACTTTTAAAATACTAGGTGGTTTAATTTTATAAATTACACTTTTTAATTTAAATTAAATATAAACCATATCAAAATGGATTTATTAACTTTCTTTTAATTATACCTTTAATTATCTTAATAAAACCATAAGGGTGTAATTTGAACTTTTTCAAAACTAGGGTTTTAGAATTTAAAATTTCAAAAATTAAACTTTTAATCTAAAATTTAAATTCCAAAACTTGAGGGCAAGTTTTGAAACATTTCAAAACATTAGGGTTTAACTATTTAAATTTCTAAACTAAAACTTTTAAGGTTCAAATTTAAACTATAAAACCTAAAGGGTGAAAAGTTGAAACTTTTCCAAACTTTATCAAGAACATTCTAGATCAACAATACAAATAAGACAATTAACAATTAATTTGGTTATCTATTTTTGACGTAGTCTAATTACTTGCAAGATAATTCACCAAATAACTAAAATAATTAAACATTATCTTATAAGGAAACAAATATTTGATTAATTGGTAATTATCTACTATTTTGGCAAGGAGATTCACCCAAAATCAATAAAAATCGGATTTTACTAATTAAAAACGTTTATGGTAAGTATCCCAAGCCAAAACAGCAAGAAAATCGCGAAAAAACGCTGCCAGACCCTTTGACTCGTCGAGTCCAGGCCTGGACTCGTCGAGTACAGCCAACTCGGCGAGTTCACCAGGGACTCGGCGAGTCAAGCAGTCAGAACCTCAAAAATTCGATTTTCAGGCAATATTCGATCAAATAAGCATCAAATTCATTAACAAACAGCCCTAGACTCTGATACCACTGATGGGTTATGAGCACTACAACATTCATATGGTGTACATGCAAACCCTAAAGCTTTGGATCTAGTTTGTCTAATGAACATGCAATAATCATCCAAAGCCATAAACCCTAGATCTAGCATGTGATAATCAATATAAACATAAGAATAGGTTTTAGATCTTACCTTGATTGTTATGTAGCAATAACAATCTATTCCTTGTTGTAATTGGCTTCTGAAAAGCTTAGAGTCACAAATGTCACTCCTCTAATGGCTCACAAACACCAAGAGCAAGAGGATGAAGAAGGAGAAGAGGAGATGCACTCAAAAACGTCTAGAAACCCTAAGGAATAAGATAGCCACGTTTTTGGTGCCCTAGGGGTGCTTAAATAGTGAGGCTATTAGGGTTATCTAACAAGGAAACCCTAATTTGACTGCTTAGGCCCTAAGCAACCCATGGACTCCTCCTTTAGAGGCCTTGGACGATTTCTAATGGGTTTCCCCATAGAATTCGTCCACCCCTCTAATAAGAAGTCCATTAGCCCAATATTCAACTATCACACAATTGATGGTTCTAGTCCCCTAAGTTTAATTAATCTCTTTTAGCCACAAAATTAATTCTTAATTAATTATTGACTAATATTAATTAAACAATATGATTTCTCCTTTAATATATTATTCTCATAAAATATTAATAAATCATAATTAATCTCCTCTCTCCATAATTCATCCTATCAAGTTGCTTTGGTGAAGGCAACCCAAAAGGACCATGCACCATCGGGTCAAGTACATACCAAAAATAGTTATGGACTTAGACATTAATCCAACAGTAAACACCAAGCAACCACTTGATTCCGGTTCTCACACTTCTTTTGTAAGTGTTCCTTACATCATAGGTTGTTTTCCTTACACCTTTGAGGTTATATTCACTTATTGTATGCCTATATACTAAGTGATATGCATTTTAGGACTTGTTTTATCCCGGGAGCTAACTAGTGGAATCAAACATCCAATATCGAACTTACAAACGAATCACTCACACAAGGTGAGTTAATACCCCTGCAATTTACCTTTTTCAATGTGTTAAGGGGGGGGGGGGGAATACAAGTAGAACACAATAGAATTGTGTTAACATTTACATGTGAAAACAAACAAACAAACAAAGGATTTCTTATGCTTATAGGTTGTTAAAATCATTTCAAAAACTCTTTTAAACTATTTTAGATTGCTGTTCATTATCAAAATCGTATTCATTTATATATTTATGTATAAGTATGCTTCAACGGACTTAGGACTATTGCTAAATACCTAGAATCCTGTTCCTTGTTTGGTTGTGGGCTTAGGGTAGGATCACTAGTCCGACTGTCGGCTAAATCATAGTTATACTTGCTAAATATATACATGAATATTAAACTTCATTTTTAAAAGTACATACCTAACTCAGTTGCAAACATTGGGCAATTGAGTCTTTTATACAAATCAATTACAGTTCAAACAAACATACTAGTAAACTATAATAGATATAGTTTAGAGGATCAATACATACTATTTTCTAGAACAGGGAACAATACATGAGTCAATACATACATACTATTACTATTCATGCAAAGTATACTATTCATTTACAAGAACAAGATAACTAAAATGTGAGATGCTATTTAATGACATAGCAATATACTTGCTATGTTACATTTTATAACCAAAGTCTTCTGGAGGGAGAACATGAGTTTGTGTATAGATCTATACGGGATTGACCATCCCACACCTTGCTGTTAGCTACAGTGGGACCTGCAGGTCTACGGGTGACAAATGTCATAACTTTTTCGACGCTTGAAGAATGTCGTGTTTCACACTAGTCAATCAAGAATGGTTATAACTTTATCACATATTAACCTTAATTTAACCAGTTTGGTTAGAAGGTAGTTAATGCATCAGTAGTATATTTCATACAATAATACTGTAAACCTTCATTTCCATTACATTCATTCAGTGATTTTTCTCTCATGAGAAATGCATGCTATTTTTCTAGTAAAGATGGTTTACAAATATGGAAAACATACATTTTATACTATTTTCAAGTACAAACATACATTTTACACTATTACAAAAGAACAAACTTACAAAACAGTCGGGTCTTGGGTAGAAGGCTACATTTCATTGTTAGAATAAAATATAGGATTTTCTGGGAAGTATACAAACATTTCACTAGACAAACACAAACATTTTCATGAAACAACTACAAACATTTGATACTAAATTACTTATGAACTCACCAACTTAAATGTTGATACTCTCTTTCAAAATAACTTGTATTCTCAGGGAACCAGTAGACAGGTACACTGGATCAGGTTTTGAGAAGACGAAGCATGTTCAAGACTCGCCTTTTATTTTGATATATTTTTGGTGTCTTACAACTATACACAGAACACACATGTATTAACTATTCTATTAATGCAATGGATGTTGTTGCTTGTTTTACTATTGTGCATTGTTATGATACTGTACATGACGTCCTCCGCCCCCGAATGTTTCCGCCATCTCGGTTTGGGGGTGTGACATGGTATCATCTTCAAACATTCATTTGCCCCCTCCCCCCTTTTCTGTCTCGACTAGTCCCTACTTGCATGACCAGCACGCCATACGCTCGATCCCATACTTCAATTTCTAGTATTTCCTTTGATTCCTTTACTTCCAGGTACTATCTAGACTAATCCTAACTTTGTATATCGCTTAAATTCGGGTTTCAAGGCTTTTTAGCAATTTTTGCATTGGGTGAATTTTGGTCGAATTTCTTGTAATGGGATACCTTTTGGACTTGTTATACTACCAATTTTACTACCTTAATACTCAATTTCGAGTTTATTTTATCCACTGGTCCATATTTTTAGTTTTTAGATTTCGAATTTTTTTCTAAAATTTCAACTAAATATCTCAAGTGGTAGTGTTTTAGAAGAAATAAACTACTTGCTTGTATTCTAGCAGCTTAGTCGAACATCCCTGTGTGGTTATTTTATTGAAATTTGGACGAAACAGCAGATTTCCATATCTGTTGTTCTTCGTGTTCTTGCAGCACGTTGCGCAGAGGCTTGTGCGTCGCGTGCACTGGCATGCAGTGCGCACCCTTGCGCGGTTGGTCCCTTTCAACACCTTTTGCAACATTCATCTAATCTAACTTATCCCTAATTGCCTTTTGTCTATTTTTCTACAGATATGTCGAGACGAGGTCGACAAGCTGCGGGTCAGTTACCTCCTAAATGGCCATCGCATCTATTCTTATAGTTCCCCGATGATCTTCCTAATCAGAGTTCCTTCGTTTCTCGCCTGATTGCTCTTTTGTTCAAGAAGATTAGTGTTCCCCATGATTTTTCCTGGAGTGATGCGGATGAGTCTAGGTTGACGGATCGTTTGGAGCCCACAGGTTGTAGGAGAAGAAAGAACTTGAAAAAATCAAATGATAATCATGTCCACCACCACCAAATCGACGCCTAAGGGACCATTTCTTTTCAGAAATCAAAATTAACTCATCTAAAATCGAAGAAGGGGCTTTTCAAAAATCGAATCAAATCACTTGAAATTTGAATCGAAGAAGAAAGGGGCGTATCGTTCTTGATTTTCAAACCCATTTGAGATTTCAGAAATGAAAGGGGAAACCTAGCTGGAAAGATGGTGGTGACATAGATTGATGTCGACATGGAAGAAGATGATGTTGGTGGTGGGAAAGAAGAGCTCGTCGAAGCCTTATGAGAGAGAGAGAGAGAGAGAGAGAGAGAGAGATTTTCTAGCTTACCCAAGAGAAATAGAGAAAGAGAGAAATGCGTGTTATTTTATTTTAAAGTTATAAATAATAATAAATATTATTAGATTAATTGAAAAATAAATATTTAAAGGTATTATGGTCATTTCAAATATTATGCGGATTAAAATCGTAAGGATGAAAGATGTATATTAAAACAAATGCAACAAAATTCACGTTAATTTTTGAAAATAAAAATTCGTGATCATTGCCTCGACACATCTTTGTTTACTGGGCCGCTTTTGTCGGGCCTTAAGTTTATTGGGCTTTGCAACTGATATCAACCCTTTATTCTTTCTTTTAGAACGCTTTCCCTCGTCTTCTCTATCCGACGTCTGTTCTTCACACGGCGAATTCAACGATTTTTTCCGATCGCCACCGTCATGTCTCAGGTAAAATCTTCCTCCGAAGCCTCTCATTACTCACTACTTTTATTAGTAGATCTGTATTTTGAACTTGATTTATCCTTTTCTATTTCTTTTCCTTTTATCGTAGATTGAAGAAGAGACTTTAGGTTTGTTATTCCAATTTCATGTTTTTCTCAGTGGCATGATTTGTCTTTGGTAATTTGTTTGTAGGTTGATAACAGAAACTCCTCTGCGGCCAAACGTGCCAGAACTGATGGTATGCCTTTATTGATAATGTGTTCACTTATTCCTCTTTCTTTTCGTTTATTTTTTTCTGGTTTATTTGGCTTCTTTGTCGGTGGTTGAATATTGAAGGGTTTATCCTGTGAACTATTTTCTCCTGAATTGTAGTCCTTTCTGGACGTTTGTGAATGCGTTAGGTTTGTTATTCCAATTATATGAGCAGTAATAGTAAACAATTTTAGATCTAAACCAAATCACAATGCAAAATTTTCGTTGTTTAAATTGCTACTATTGATATGCGATAATATGAATGAAGTATATAGTTATAGGAAATAGGGTTTGATGACTTAAAAGTACATGTTTTTGATAATTGTAAAGTTTCTTCGTATAATAACGATAACCAGTTATTTTAATAAACAGGGGGTCGTAGAGAAGATGATTGGACTTGCCCTAGCTGTGGAAATGTGAATTTCTCTTTCAGGACAACATGCAATATGCGCAATTGTACACAACCTAGACCAGCCGATCATAATTCTGTAAGTTCCACATTTTTTTTATATTTAAACCATTTAGCCCCTATTTGTTTCATTTTAGTCCCCTCTTTATGTAATTTGCAACTAATAGTTTTACTGTGTTGTAGAAATCTGCTGGAAAGGCAATGCAGACCCCACAAGGGTATTCATCTGCTACTGCTGGTCCTTACGTTGGTTCTGGTGCACCTTCATCAATGTATATTGGTGTACAACCTTATGGCTCCTCTCTCTCTATGCCTCCTTATGATGTTCATCTTCCCTCTGCTTATCATTATAATTATGGAACTCGCCTTTCTGGAGGTAGCCCCTATCGACCCCTCCCACCCCCCTACTCTGGTGGCTCAATGATAGGTAGTAATAACTTTTTTTTTCTTTTCTCTCATTTTATAATTGTTTTAAATATTTTTGAATTTTATATTTATATTTTTTGCAGGTGGTATGTATGGAGTACCTCCAATGATGGACCGATACTTGCCTTTGGGCCACACTGCTGCAATGGTATGGTTGTATAAGTATTAACATCTTTTTGTTGTAAATTTATAATGAATTGACTGTTTTGACCCTTGAAAATTGATAGGGTCCACGACCTGGGTTTTATCCAGAAGAGAAAGCAAAGAAAGGTATTGAAAACATTTTGTATGTTGGTTTTATTTTTGGATGAACAGATGGCTGATGTTTATTATTATTATTTTATAATTTTAGATGGGAAAAGCGACAATGATTGGGTATGCCCTAATTGTGGAAATGTGAATTTCTCATTTAGGACAGTTTGTAACATGAGAAAATGCAATACACCTAAGCCAGGATCTCAGGTATTTAATTATTTCGTTACACCTAGTTTCATCTTCTGTATTTCTTACACCAATAATGACTGAATGTTACAATAAAACAAATTTTTTGTTTGAATTTGTTTGTAGGCTTCAAAGTCAGGCAAGAACTCCAGTAAGTTAAATTTTGTTTTTGGAAATCATAGCTTTGATATTCATAAATCATAAATCATACATGATAATGTGTTTGTTTTCAGAAGGAGATATGCCTGATGGGAGCTGGAAGTGTGATAAATGTAACAACATAAACTACCCATTCAGAACAAAATGCAACAGACAAAACTGTGGTGCTGAAAAACCATCAGAATCCGGGAACTCCCCTTCAGAAGAAGCAGAAGAAAACGATCAGGTCTGTTTACTTTCATTTTCATCAAAATTATGTTGCTTCAAAAGTGTGCTTGTTTTCTAATTCTATATTCTATAATACTGTTTTCTAAATGTAAAAGTCAAAAAAGCTATTAGCAGCTCTTTTTTACTCCAGTCAGTAGTCATCTCCGTTTGGTGGTTTTAGCAAAGTTGTTGAAGGGTATAGTTGTCTTTTTATTAATCCGCATTTATCTACTGTTCCAGTGAGTCGTTTGAGAAGGTCGTCCAGCTGTCGTCTCGTCTCGTCTCTTCGGTCATGTTGCTGCGCTTATCTAGTTTACTCATTTGTGGTTGTTGTGTCTTGTCAACTTTGTATCCAATAAAAAATATATTTAAAAAAAAAATGGTATTTGTGGTCGTTATGAAGAAGGTTGGCTGGATGTTTAAGTCTCAAGGTCTAAGTTTGTGTCCTTCTGAGGCATATGCGTTTGGAATCATTTAAAAAGAATGTGAATGGAATTCAGATCAATTATCTGTTAGCAAAATTACAAAGCTGTCATTCTTTAATTTTTAAAAATCAACTAATGTTTTAAAGAATTATTAAAAATAATGCATAAGTTAAAAGTTAATTGTTTACAAGACAGGTGATAGCGAGAGTAGGGTGATGTTGTGGCAACTGTGGATGAATATGGCCATGAAGGCAAAGATGAGAATGGCAAGGTGCCAGGTGGCAGTAGCGGTGGCTCTGCCAGGTGTTGGTTGATGAAGAGTGGTGGCCGGTGGGGGAGGGAAGGAGCATTTCATCATGAGATGGGTTTTTGCGAAGGATCAAAGGAATTGAAATTCGATCTTTTATTTAACCAAAACAAGGGGTTGTAATGGATTTTAATTCCAAATCCCTATAAAAGCAAACACACCCACATTATGAAGCTTGGTTACATCCTGTAGTTTTTTTATATAATCACGTGGGTTTGAATATATAAAAAATGACGACAGTTGAGCAGCAAGAGCGTATATTAGGAAAGCTTTTGATTTGAAGGGTTGTGGCTCGTCTAATTCTAACCAACATTTGCAGAATGAGATCCCATGTAATGTATTTTTTTATACTAAAATGAAATTGCGAACATGATTTTACTTTCTTTTTAGCGGTGCGCCATATTTATATTTTTTAAATATTTTTTATGTTGTTATTTTTGACAAGCTAAAAAATTAGCTTATAAGTTAGTTTTTTAGAAAATTATTTATACTAGTTTTTATAGAGTTTTTATTCCCTCTTAAATGTCTATCATTTTGTATTTTTTTAGTTAGTTCAAGGTTATTTTTTTCTATCAAATATTATTTTTTATTTTTAGTTTTTTAGCTAACAACTGCTTGTTCACTTAGCAACTAGTTTTTTAGTTAGTATGTCAAATATAATTTTAATAAATGAACTTACTTATCTTATATTTTTTGAATTACATTAACGATTCTAAATTAGTTTATTAGTTTAAGATAAGTGTAAAGAAAATATAATTTTTTATTTGGACTTTATTCTTTTATAATTTTCTAAGAGGTTTTTAAATTATTTAACAATAACTAATTAATAGCAAAATAAAATTATCAATTATGATTAAGTTACCTTACAAAACATAGTTGATATTTTAATTAATGGAACTAAAAACTTGTCCGAATAAATAATTAATGATAAACATTAAAACGAGAATTGTTTTTATATGAAATTCTCCCTTAATTTTATTCATTTGCAAACTGTGGGTAGATGTCGAATTTTATGAATAATAGATGCTTATTTTATTATGATGTTTAAAATTGTTATATTTTTAAATATCAAGATAATATGGTAATTTGTAGGACTGAATATATTTTAAAATAGGGAAATCATGATTCGAACACAGAGAAGATTGAACACCAAAGTTTAAATAAGATATGGTTTTGATTAGAGTACGGAAGACTCAATTACAAAGATGAATGTAAGTACGGAGCAAAAGAAGTACTCTCTATCTAACTAATATCCCTTTTATACAGATTCACACCCAGGGAGTCGGTTAGGAAATGACTAATCAGGTCAAGACACCTAAGCTAAGACAGACTCTCAATACAACAAAGTAAACATCACTGTGAAGCCTAGAGTACAACACAAACTACGAGATCAATAATACATTCGTAAAATCAAACTGAAGACTTTAGATACAACATTATGAAACCTTTTGAACTAACACTCGAAACACAATACATATTACAAGACTTAACAATCTTCTTGTTTGTGTTGAGTAGCAAAACAAGTCTTCACTTGATTTCGTCAAACACTTGCGGAGCAAAAATGCAGAATCACCATACACACAATTATCCACCACCTTAGCATCTCAGACACCTGCTTGATCTTGCTTTTCGGATTAATCTTGCAAAGCTCAGCTTTTGCAAGAATGCCATTGAGTGTCGAGGTCTTGAGGCAATGTCTATCTTGAAGGTACATCATACATTTTTTTCATTACTTTATTAACCATGGCCTTGTAAATAATGCCCTATGGTAATTGCTGAATTTGCCAGTCCCCCATCCCTTCAATTCCACTTGGCTAATCGTAAGGTCCAACAAAAATCTTTTTCTTCACAAATTCTCCCATCTCCACATCCATCTTACACAACTCCATAAAATACAATCTTATCATCTTCTTCAAATGCAAAAGCTGATTCACATACTTTGATTTCTCCTTGAAAAGAATTGAATACGAAACAAACCAATCGTATGGATTCATTTGTGGTAGATCAGCAGGAGAGAACAAACATTCCTCATTATCACTTCCCCTTATCACTTTGAACTTATGATTCACAAATTCATCATTCACAATCTCAGCTTCGCATTCGTAAACAACAAATATTTTCTTCAAATTCCAAACCTTGTATTAAGGTCTAGACTGTGATGCATAGAACTCAAAAAGCTTTCTATTCATAGGACTATTGTTTATAGCAACACCAAAAGTGTTTTGAAAGCTTCTGAACAAAAAGGCTTTGGTTGTCATTGGGAAGTCCAAATGGTAATCTACCTTGTTGTCAATAACAAAAGATGATCTCGGATTAAGCCAAAGTTGAACATTCATGATAGGTTCTTCCATCATGCGCTCTACAGTCCATTTTGGCCACAAAGCATTGCGAGCCAACTCCACAACTTCTTTCTCTCTATTCTTTACTTCTTTTTGATCCAATTCAATTTGCAATTGTTTTAATATTTTAACCTCCTCATCATTCTTCATCAATAGGATGTAATTCTGGTGGAGTAAAGATTGTAAAATCCGAACTTGGCCCTAAAGGTTTAGATGGAAAAATACCTTCCAATCTCTTCTTCAAGTTTTGAAAACCAAAATCATTCTTGTTGGCAGTAGGTTTCTTGACCATTTTTGAAACAAAATAAGGATTGATAATATAAACGTTATCCCCCCTTGTTGTGAAGTAGAACCTCTATTCATAACACCAAACTGCGAAAGCAAAGGTTGAAGTTTCTGATCTAGCATTTGGGACATGTAGTCAACATGGGAAACATCTTTTTCCTCAACTATCTTCACCATTCGCCGATTTATTTCAAAATTACGACTATAACATCTCGATGTTGAGGTATTTCCATTTTTAACCCTAAGTATGAGAATTAATTAGATTTTAGCCCTTATGTGTGAGAATTGTTGCAAATTGTCCCATAGTGGCATTTTTGTAATATTTAAGCAGAGCCTGCGTACGCTGGGCGTACATATCATACGCAGGGCTTACGTGCCAACACCTCAAACCCTAATATTTAGGGTTTGGACCCTATATAAACATCATTAACTCTCCATGGCTTATTCCCTTATCAGCCTCCAGCCCTCATTTCGTCCATAGCAAACCCTAATCTCTTGTGTGTTAATTTTGATCTTGAAAGTGTGTGTTTTGGTGACTTTGAAGCTAAGAGAAGATTGAAGAACCACCTTGGAAGATCAAGACCACTTAGATCCAGAAACACCTCACCTCCAAACTTCATTTTGAGGTATAAAGTTCTGAACTTGATGATCATATCTCTAGATTTTGTTAATTTTAGAAGTTATGCTTATTAGCCCATAGTCTTGGTCCATTTGGGTATGAACTACCCTAGACCAAATGAGTTGTCCTTTTGGACGTCTTAGGGTGGTTTGAGTGATAAAAATGTGATCTTAGATCTTATTTTCCCTCCATGCAAGTATTGAGATGTCATAATGGGATAAGAAGTTAGGGTTTTAGCTTTTGGGCACTTGCTAGCCATGCAATACCATAAAGTTGGAAACTTTAAGGTTAAGGACATTAGTTTAGGGCTAGATCTGAGAATTAGACGAAAGAGCTTAAGGAAATAAGCTCTTAATATAAGGATTAAGTGAAGGCAGCGTATGCTAGGCGTACAGAATGGTACACTGAGCGTAGGTCAGCTTCGCGTTTTTAGTCAATGTGTGAGTACGCCCCGTGTACAGGCTAAGTACGCCCATCGTACTCAGCTGTGTTGACCAAGTTTGACTTTTAAACTTTTTGAATTTGACCAAGTTTGACCTAAGGCTATTTTGAATGGTATTTGAGATTGATCATTATTTGATGAATAAGTGACCAGTTGAGATGATATTCGGAGCTGTGTCCTGTTCAACAATATTTTTCAGACTAAGAGGTGAGTTTTTCTCACTGTACTTGTGGGTCGAAGGCACCAAGGCCGACCCATTGGGTTTGATATCCAAATATATTTGTCACACCCCCGGAACAGACGACGGAAACGTCCGGAGGCGGATGACTTCATTGTGCAGTATCATAACAATTGAATATAAATGAAACATAGCAAATCCAAACATCATACATTAATACTAATCTTACATTGTTTACAATACTTGTTCTGATCAAAAGTTAAACGTGAAATAACAAAAGTAGAAGTAGCATAATGCAGCGACGCTAGTCCTCGTTCGTGGTGCTTACCTACTTACTAGATCCCTGAGAATACAAGTCGTTTTGAAAAGCATCAACTAAAAAGTTGGTGAGTTCATAAGCATTTTTGTATAAAAATAGTTTTACCCTTATTTAGAATTGTTCTTGTTGTACCTTCAGAAAATCCGACATTTTCTATAAAATCGTTTGGAGTCTTGTTTGGAAATCGTGGATATATGCATGCATGTCATTACTTTTTATTCGTCTTTAAAAGAATGATTTTTGGAAAGTCCTAAAATTTATAAAGGCAAGCTGTATTTGAGAGTAGTTCCTTTGAGTCGTAACCATAAGTAGGTTCCAGAAAATCCCATGTTTCCTTAAAATAATATAGTTGTAAGCTTTGTTTTCTTGTTGGGTATAGTTGAGTGTGTGTTTTAGTTCATCGTTTTCGAAATCATATAATATCGTTTACCCCAGAAAATCCTATATTTTCATATATATAAAATGGTGGTCTTAAAACCCTAAGACTGGTGTGATAAAAGCTTCGTTTATAGTATCCAAAACAATAATTGTCTAAAATCGAAAGGTGTAACTTGAGTAAATTTCTAAAATCATACTGTTATATTCTAAGTGAGTCGTTGTAACCATACTAATATGACAGAGTGCCTGTCCAGACGTTCTTCAGGTGCCAGATTCGATTAAGACATTTGTCACCCTAGACTGACCGGGTGTCAACCCCGTATAGATCAATCTATACACAAATTCCCGCTCCCCCTCCCGGAGACTCTGGTTATAACTCTTACAGGACTTTAAGCGTACACTATTATATATATATATATATATATATATATATATATATATATATATATATATATATATATATATATATATATATATATATGTACTGTGAAGATTCGTCTGACTAGAATACTAACAGAATTTTGAGCAAATCGTTGAGATCCATTATTTATTAAATAAATAATAATAGTTGTACTCGATGACTAGATCTATCGTTTTCGTTTATTGAAAATAATCCCCCTTGAATTACAATTATCAAAAATGACCCAATATTATCGATATTGGCACAAATGGCCCTTCTTTTTATGATTTATCAAATGAGAACCATATTTGTCAAAAGGTGTCATAAGTGGTTCAAAACTAGGTGAATGGTTGAAAATGACCCATTTCTTCTAAAATACTTGTTTAAGCAATTTTTGAAGTAAATCCTTATGGTTTTTGGTCATAGAAATTTGTGACTTCTACTTTGGAACATACTAGT